AGATACGTTCGAGAAAGGATAGACCACTCACACAGCCTCACTGTCCCACGATTATCGAATGACCCGATGACCACGGACGTCGATCTCATGATCTCACGGTCTTCAAGATACGTTCGAGAAAGGATAAACCACTTACACAGCCTCACTTGTCCCCACGATTATCGAACGACCCGATCACCACGGATGTCGATCCCTTGATCTTACGGTCTCCAAGAAACATACGACGTAGTCAACCACGAAGCTGTGCTAACGGGACAAGGGATGTCTCTGATGTCATACTAAGTACTTTACGGTCTTGAAAGGAGACGATGACCGAGGAGGTTGATCTTCTGATTTCTCAGAGTCGAGATGGTAGCCCATGGTACAAAAGAGAAAGAACGTGGTGTCATTGGGTAAGGGAGGGGGGTTGAGAGAGATTTCAGGCCTGGAGAAGGGAGAGTTCTCATGGTCCCATGGACAACAAGTAGTGTTTTGAATATAAAAGACTGCACCATGGCCCTGAAATCTCAAAAAACCACACCTCAGATACATCAACAATTCTTCTTACACTCTAACATGACTACTGTGATGACAACAGAAGAGAGACTGAAGTTCCAAGCGCTTCAACACATAGATTCAGCCCTGGGAGGCATAGCTAAACTAAATATGCGAGGATTTTCTTACATAATGACCGTAAATAACGACGTTTGTACTATCGAGCAGTTCGACATCGCGGTTCCGGACATTGACTTTAGCGAGGATAGTCAGTCTACTGTTATTCAACATGGGACGTGGGTAACTTTACCTGAAGAGGATGACACGCAAGAGCAACTTTTGCTATCGGCAACCGCCGCATCGGAGGATGCCAGACCACTCCATGGCGGGCGGGATGAAGCAGTGTATGTGAGAAGGGCTGTGCAAGCCTGTGCGGTAGCAATCAATGATAGCTTATCAGCATTGCATGCCATGGGTGCCTCAACTGACCGGTTGACCGACTTCATTGCTCAGAAGAGCTCCGAATTCAAGACAATTTGGAGGAACACTGATCTTAAACAATATGAAGATGTGATGTCTCAATTTGTCCCACAACAGATGGCAAAACAAGTCAGTGACCTCAAGATAGAAATGGGACTGCCTCCTCCTATGACAGTGGCCGATGACGATGACGATGACGATGAAGAGGACACTGCCAATCGCAATGCCATTGACAATGACGTGTACCAGGCTGCTAGAGATGCCCTGGGATTGTTTGATTCCTTTTCAATGGGTTGAATATCCTCCGGTCTCTGCTTGCAGAAAGAGACGAAGAATCATCTTCCCATGCACAAAATTTTTAGACGCCAGCCAACGTATTGACCACAATGGCAGGATAAAGTTTTGTGAGAAGAGATCCGAGGAGATTGGAATTAGATATCTCAGGTCATAGAGATACAGAGAGATGCAGCAGGTGAAGAGACATCCCAATGAACTCTGCACTCCCATCATTGCAGATTCCAGAACATGTGCATGTCACTGATCACTGCACCGAGCTACAACTGATACTCCAGCTGTCAAGGAACTCACAGACTTACCAATGCGGCTCTCTCTCTACTGGGCAAGTTATTGTGTGGTTGAGTGAACCTGCAGAGTAGTAGCATTTAATGAAGAAACAGAAACGGTTTCCCGGCTACTGTATTACACTCGTGATACTCGTTGAAGAGCATGTCACGTCTTTCCTGTAGAATGTTGCAATATTCACCAGGACCAAGAGTTGTTCAAGAAAGACGTCAGTGGCGGGGTGAGAGTGGAAGAATGTATATCTAATGACCATTGATCAGTCCATGTTAGCCGATAGAATCGGGCCAGGACGGCCGAACCGCCGTTAGAATTACCCCTTCCGTCGAATATTTCTCCGTTCAACTTATCCTCTGAACTCTATTCGATCGTCTCTGGTTTTATGCGCGTGAGTGGAATGTGATAAGTATAGAGACATGTAGAATTGATGCATGCCCTTTTTCCCCTCTGTATTATCATCTAATATTAGCAAACAGATTAACAGTCGGAAGTCACATACCTTCTGTGTATAACAAAGGCAAGTTCCCATTTCTAACTCTCCTCATAATGACCTCTGTGTCGTCTAAGATCTCTCTTGAGAACCACCCAAAGTTATCCCACGATCCAGCATCGTATGCTCCGTGGAGGAAGTCGATCGAGGTGTATCTACAGATAGGTGACGTGTGGAATATCGTCACAGGTAATGATACCGAACCTGGTCGCATAGGGGTGAGATCGGCAGCTGAGAGGGCGGGATCAGTACCTCCTACCACGCCCGTCGAAGGGCAAGTGGTTGGTAGAAGGATTACTGGAGAGAGTGGAAGGAATGGGAAAAGTGGCAAGCGAGGGAGATAAAGCGCAGGGATGATCAAGGGAACAGTGTCGATGCTGTG